TCATCAAATAAAGCATGACTGGATGTGGTAACGTGGTGAAGCTTAAACATCGTTTTAATATAAATCCTCTGTATTGTTGACAATATTGCATACAGCTTCTATTGACATATCAAGTCTTGCCACAATTTTTCACTTGGAAAATACTTTACAAGCCAAATACTTTACACACTGTACTGCTATACATTTTATACTAATGCAGCACTATTTTACTGGTTGGATAACGACCAATCACAGTAATCAGCACCTCACTAAAGTGCAGTTCATTTTCAGAGAATAAAGGGATAATATTTCTATAGTATTTGCCATTTATACCGTTTTTCAACATTTACATAAACTTATTTCATATACTGTGTTTGTGTGTGTGTATATATACACACACAGACAGAAATCAATTAAAAGTTTTGCCTGGCAACTTGGCTGGTATGTCTTCACATTGATCAGCATGAATACCAGTTTCATTCTCCATATGCTTGAGGTATGCAATATATGAACAAATACGTTGTGAAAGCAAATTGTGAACACATCTTGTATCACTTTTCTAGATGGAGATTCTTCTTCACTGTGTTGCAAACAGCAGTTACTGGAGACTTTTGCATTTTGGAGACATTACACTCTGCTTACTACAGCTTGTTACAGGTCTCTTTCTGGATAGTTCACATTACCTACATAATGCCAAAAGATGTTACAATGTAGGTTTGATATATGGTTCAGTTCACTTTATATTAGATCTAGTTTTCATGTAGCTTGCAGATTTGATCATTCAAAATTGTTTTAACACAACACACTTAACACTGTACACATGGGTTTTTTATGCTAACTAAGGATATCATGAAAGCCTAAATCATCTGTAGCTTTTATTGAACTTTAATTTCCTCAGTAAAATCATTAAGCATATAACCAAGAAATTTATACAATATGATATTACCAATATGCAAATAAAGATTAGTTTTTGTCTTCATTTAGCATATCATTTATTAAAAAATGTACCAATTTCAAAATAACAACCAGAAAAAAATACTTCCATCAATAATCTTCATTCCTAACCTAAATGTTAATTTTCACTTTTTGGTCATTCTGTTACATATATATTTCAGTGCTTTTTTGTTTTTAATAATTAACAGTAACTTGTCTATGAAATTTTTTATCAATAAGTTTCAAATAGATAGCAGTCAATTAAAAAAAAGACAACTTCTTCTTAAGTCAACATTAAAGACACATTGTTTATGCTAGGTATGATATTATAGCAACTACCAAGTATCAGCTGGGATTAGAAAGATTGAGCATACTTTTGTAAATTATTATATGTTGTGCCATATTCAAATATTTAGTGATTTTTTTTTATTTCTCAACTCATCACTAAAGAAAATAATTACATTTTTTGCATACATTTCTGTTCATCCATTTCTTACCAATGCAAATGAGAATAATTATATTATGTTGAGTTTGTAAATTAATAGAGAATGGACATAATATTTCCAATAACCTTAATTATGAACCAAAATTATGATCACAAATTATTTTGTGTCATCTGATAGCTTGGGCTGATAGAAGCTCACTTCATGTCAATTTTTTTTACACCTTTCCTCAATCAAGTTATCAAATATCACTTTTGATTTGATTTTCTCAAATATTCATGTACCTTTTATTATGACATCCTAATTCTATCCCTTGAGCAACTGTATATCAAAATCTTCCAATTTATATATTTTATGTGTTGCTATTTTTAATGAGCTTGTCAATTTAAAAAAAAGTGCACTGGTATGAAGATAACAAGGCATATCAGATATATCTAGATTTATAATTTTCTTATATGTTCTTGAGCACTAAACTTTCACATGTTTTTTAATAGTGTAGTCCTTTCTCCAACTGATGTAATACATTTGAAATAATGTAATATACTTTAATTTTGAAACTTTGTAACATCCTTTACCTTTAAATAACATCACTTCACTTATTAATGCATATTGGTTGTAATCAGGCATTAACAACCCCATTTTCAGAAGTAAGACCCAAAATGCAATTCTTGTGAATGATAATAAAGTTAATTCAACTAAAATAATTTATATGTGTATAGATGAAATGTACGTTTGTTTGCATCCAAACTTCTCCAAACCCATTGGCCAATCTCAACCAAATTTTGCATGTAAACACTATGAACTATGGAGAATGTCCTAAGGGGGTCAAAATTGAACTTAACCCTATTTCTATTTTGTAAAGCATGCTGAGTCAATCTCGAACAATCTTAGCAGGTTGATGTTTTAGACAATGTTGAATATTCTAAAGTGATTCAAGGTCAAAGTATGAAAATAGCTGGATTATTTCTCAAACAACCATGCTTTTTTCATGGTCAATGAGATGTAGGATGTTCAAGGGTAGGATTAACTTAAAATCTTCATATGGAAAGCAAACTGCATATGTTGTTTATGAAGAAGCTTTGTAACAATTTTTAAATTTTGAGATAAAGTTTGTGTTCAAATTATTACTTTGAAATACATGACTGCTGTTAAACTTACATTGTTTTAATCAAGTTTAAACATTCCCTGTCAGTTGATAGGTATTTCAGCTTGTAATAATATAAAAAAATAAATAATCTGTGTTAAAACTAAAATAATGTTGTGTTATTAATTCTTACCCTAGAAATCTAACTTATACATTACTTCAAATTATAATAATTACTTGACTTGCTTAATCTTGTTGATGTCATAAATGTTGTTGTTCATGATAATTGATGATAAGCATATAGTGCCTAGACCACTACCACGTCTTTTGTATCTAAGCCAGCCTGATGAGCCCTAATATTGAGCAAAAGGCCTTGTCATTACTGGATATGGCAGATGTAGCGTGGTTTACATATTAGTACTTTCTTTCATTGCTGAATGTTGTATTTTGATATTTTGTAACTATAAATAATTCAAATCATTTTTTGGATATTGTAAAACAATTGTCAGTTGAAAACATTAGAGATAAAGCATGAAAATAAATGGAATGAAATGTTATTGTTAAGGAAAACCTTAATTATATATTATGTGTGGTGCAACTAAATCTTTGATATAATAATTTTGACACTCACAATGAAATTGTTAATACTGTAAAATACTATGCATCATTTTTCTTTGTGAATAAATGAAAAATGGGCAAGTATAATATTAAGCTACACATATATCAAAATATAAAACTATATTTTGTGCATGTAGCACTTTTGTTTTATCATTCTTTTAAATCTGTGTTTCTAAACCACCAGTCCACTGACTGGCACTGGCCCAAGGAATTTCACAAAAACAAACAAAACAATCTGATGGAATATTCAAAGGTAAATATTGATGGCTTTTTTTAGTATACTTGCATTTCAATTGGCTGTAACAGTTTATGAAAGCAACAAGTTGGTCTCTGATAACAAAAAGGTTGAAGAATGTTATTTTAAACTCTAACTTCATTGTATGCTAAATTTTTAAAACATAAGAACATCTTTAGGGGTCACAGTCACTGCACACACACACTGTCTACTCTTGCCTGTGTTCAGCCAGTCTCCCAGCAAGATGGCCAAGAAAGAAATCCCTTCTTACCAACAAGACAAGGAAGATGAGGCTTAACTGGACCAAAGAGCATACTGACTGGACTGAAGCAATGTGGAGCAAAGTAATCGTCACAAACGAATCAAAGTTCAATCTGAACAAGTCTGATGGTAAGTACTTTGTGCAACATCAATGTGGAGATCCAGTATGTTTGAATGCAACTGTCAGGTTATATGGAATGCATCTCTGGCCAGGGGTGGGACAACTGTATCTTGTGAAAGGCACTGTCAATGTTGACAAGCACATAGAGATCCTTGAGTCCCAGTTAAAGCCAACAATTCAGGATAATTTCTGTGAAGTTAACCAGTGCACATTCAAGAAGATTTTGCTCTATGCCACAGGGCTAAAAAGGTTGGTAATATTCAAACACTATGCAATAGATGTAAAATAAAAATGAAATTTCACTCTACGTGTACTGAAAAGACATCTTGGGTTTTATTTCAGTGCTTCAGGTGAAAGATTATCTTTAAAAAGAGAAGATCAAGACACTATGCTGGCCATATAACAGCCCAGATCTAAACCTTATCAAAAACTGCTGGAAGCTAATGGGTAACAAAGTGCAAGAGAAGAAACCAAGAAGCACCTTGGAAATGCAGGAAGCCATAATCTGTGTGCGGCATCATCAACTCACCTCTACCTACATTCAGTCCCTCATGAACCCTATACCAAAGCAATGTCAAGTAGTTATCAGGGCTAGAGTGGGCAAAACCAAATATCAAAACTCTGTAACCAATGTTTTGCCAATTTCATTAGTGGTGTTATCTTTAAATCTAAGTTTGTTTTTACTCAGAGAGCATTTTTGTACTTGCCAAGTATTTGTTGATCATCTGCTTTAATATGTTTGTCACGATTGGTTTGTTAATAAAGATGCATACATGTCTTTGGATGACTCATATACGAGTCATCTTATACCACACAATATCCATAACCTTTTTTACACTAGTTCTGACACTTCCACAATGCATAACCTCGTTTAGAACTATAAGAACTAAGAAAAGTGTAAAAAAGAATTGGGTGGTGCAAAAACATTTTCCACCACAGTATACACACACAAAAATACAAAATTAAATTTGTGAAGTACACCATAAACAGATATTAGAAATTATACTCTTTGCAGAACACTGCAGAATGACAACCACAGTGATAACACCCCAAAATGTTGGGGGTATCCAATCTCTTCATTCATCTTTTAAATACAAGTGAAAAAGACTAGTCTCCCAACACTTAACACTGTGATTACATAAAATTCAGTTGAAGGGGTGGTATTTTCACAGTTAAAATGTTATGCTTCAACATACAGTAACAGATATTTGCCCAACTTGTATTTAACAGGAATTACTTACTTCGTTATCTTGCAACTTGAGCTTACTTTGTGGTTGATGATGATTTATCATCCCTCATTCAAAAACGAACTATCTAAAAAGCCAGTTTCATTTCTAAAGGTAATGCTTTTATTCACATAAAAACTACATTTCCAAAGCTTCTTGACATCAGAATATCCACTCATCTTACAACGGTGTTATTTAAATACCAAGAAAGTAGTCTACCTTTCAATAATGTTGGCTATCAAACAGAATTCTTTACACTGATTGATAAATACTGAAGTTCGTTAGAAGACACAAAATACCTTGCCTATTATGATGTATTATTTAACTTAAGACTGCTCATGGTTCTTCAGCAACTAAAAAACTCAATTACTTTGATACTTCGGTCGAGGAATTTCAGGTGGTATATATTCTTCTTCATATTTTAAGCCTTTCTGTTTTTCTTCTAATTTTTCTACTTCAGCAAGTTCCATTTCATGTTTGTCCCAGTTTTCAAAGAAGAAAAGCAGCTCTTCCTTCTCAGAAAGTTCCTTCTTTTTCTCTTCAATGGCTTTAACACTTTTCTCCCGTAAATATTCTTCAATTTGTTGAGTAAGAAAAACTTTCCTTTTTTGTTCCCACTCTTTAAATAACATTTTTTGTCCTTGAATGTCATCATCTTCATATTTTGTAACATCTTCCAGCATTTGGTTCATCAATTTGTGGCAATCCTCACTAGACACACAACCTTTGGATTCCAGTGTTTGAAGCTTTGACTATGAAAAGAATAGTTATCGTTGTATAAAACTCAAATCATGTGACTGTAAGTCATGGTGATGTTTAAAACTGAACAGAAGTATGTGTTTACTATTAAAACACAACTAATAACTAAAGTACATATTACTAACATATATCCTACATTAATATTTTAAACTAATAAGCACTATAATTAACACTCAAACCTACCAGTACTATAGCATGGAAATGAATAACCAGTAATCTTATGAAACACAAGTTTTGTCCAAAAAAACAGTTGAAAGGGCTGTGCTCACCTTATTATGTCATCTTAATAGTTACAAAAACTAAGAAGTTACTTTTTATAATAAATACCAAAGACTTCTGAAATCTGTCACTTTGAAAAATTATCACTATGTACAAGTTAACATTTGAATTTGTAAAATGTAAACCTATAACTGATTATCATAAAACTATCATAACTGTACTAAAACTAATACATCCTATAATCTTTACAAATACTGAATTTCTAAAAATGCAGGTGACAGACTTGTGACATTTAGATATGACAATTTATGTTAATGATCAAAGGCTAGATTCTTATAAAATTTTACATTATGCATAAAAACAAAATGTTAGGTTAACTAAAATTTAGTCAAGGCCAGATGTGTATAATAACAAGGAGAGAACAATTCTAGCATAATGTTTTCTAAAAACCCAAACTAAAATATGATGGTTAAAAAAAAAAACACTAAATGTTCTGAAACTACTGCCTTTTTGATTAAAGAACTGTAGTTATTTACATTTGATCATTATCTGATGTTCTCTTCTAAGTAATGACAGTTCTTAATCTGCAGTTATAAGCCTTAAAAATGACAACATTATGCCATTTTTGTGAATAGATATCTTACTACACCTCAACTTCTTAACCCTCTGGATAAAGGTAGGTAAAAGTGCACCTCACAACCTGTTTACAAGTTACATTCAGAATTTAATTAAACTATTTTATTATTAATGTATGTCAATAAAATTAATATAAAAATGTAGTTTATAAATCACATTTTTAATATTATACAAGCTTTTAATTTTTTAGTTTCAAAACAAAATATTTATATAAATTCTCAATCTTCACTTTTCTCTATCACATGATACTTGTTCACTCCGAATTGCACATTTTAGATAATCTTTTCACCCCTATTTGAGCTCCTGAGTTTTAATGCAAATTATAAAACAGATATTCCTGAGATATAATATAGCTTCACAGAATCATATTGTTTTATTTAGATGTAAACCATAAAGTCCAACCCATGTGCCATTTCCTCCTATCGCATACAGCCTTTTAAAAAATGTCAATAATTCTCTTTGATAATCGCTATTACATATTTATAACCAATAAAAAAGATTATTGTAATTTACTGACTTGTATATAATACTAGCTTGTTCTCATGACAGCTTTTGAATTATGCAATGTATAGATTCAAAATTGCAATCATGGAGTTCAGCTAGTTCAGTTTGACCAGCTAAGGGAATTGTTTTAATGCACTTATAGCTTAGATAAAAAGCCAGTTAAATTATAATAGCTCTAGGATACTGTTTTCTTTATGCATATTCTTGTTTTCTGTTTCAAACTTAATATTTAAGATTAATAAAAATTCAGTAAAGTACTAACAATAACTCTAGGTTTATCAACACTTCAACAATAAAATTAAATAAAAACACATCTAAACTGTTAAGAACCTTAGGCTGTTTAGGAAAAATATTTATAATTTTCTGTTACAATTAGCAATTATCCTAGAAAAAAAAAAGGGGTAATTCAGATTTATTTCATATTTTTTGCAGTTGTTACAAAGTCAGTAAAATGGACCAAGCTCGCATAGTGTTAGGGTAGATAAAAAAATTAAATATAACATTTACTAAATGATTGCAAAATTTCATAAAGATATACTTTAAGAGGTTGGTCAAAATTACCGAGCCATATACAGAGATAATCATTGATATATTCTAACAACTTTTCTAAAGCATAAAGAAATGGCAGAATCTAAGATGCTTGTTGGGCCAGTAATAAACTTCAGTAATAATTTGTTATACTTTTAATGTTTATGCTTGATCAGATTTTTAAATACTTGGCTAAAAACATATCACTCATAACATCTTACACCAAGAGCTTTTTGAATACTTACAAACATTTCAGAGTGTAATCATGTTTATTCAGTCTTTAAAAACTACCACATAGTGACACTTTATTTTAAAGGTTATTTCCTATATGCAGAACTGCCAGAGAACAGTTATTCCTAATTCTTGACATCATACCTTAACAGCAGAACTGGGTGATTAGTGGTATTTGCTAACTTATTAATTGATAAGTACAGTGTTCCTCAAACCATGCTATGTACAGGCTAAAATGATAGGTAGCAAACGTTGCCTGCAAGTGGCCTTTCCACTAATCAGCAACTCAAAGAAAAAGAAAAAAAATTTGTAGGCAGGTGCTACCAACCAGTTGCCTTCTCTCTAGTCAGTGGTTCAAAACCATGATAATGGCAGTTTAATGTTATAGCTTTGCCATAACAAAGACAGGATGAGCAAGTTTGATAGCAATAGGAATTGACCTTTCGACCCTCAAATCACCAAAGCTGAATAAGCTTAATGTTAGAAAAAAAAACTTTTAAGGCTAAAGCTGGGCAGAGCATATATAACCCATATGTAGCTTTGTACTTAACAACAAATAAACAAAGTAATAATCAGAAACCCTAACTTTGATTAATTGATTATTTTTATGACAGTCAATATAATTAGAATTCTGATTGATCAAATTGTTGGAAAAATTAAAAGCACTAATTTCAGTTAGTTCATTACATTCGTGACAATCAATATAATCAGTATTTCAAATAATCAATTGTTATAATAACAGAAAATACTAATTCAAATAGTTGATTATTTTCTCGACGATTTAATCATAATTTCAATTAATCAATTTAGTCATAAATACGTAATACTAACTGATGTAATCACAGCTCATAGGTAAATGATTATCAATTAATCAATTACATCACCCAGCTCTACATAACATTTCAAGATAGTCATATTATCAGACAGTTGACACAACTTCATAGATCAAATGAAGAAAGATAAAACTTTTGTTAATTTTTTTCTAATGAAAAAGCCCACTTCTTCTAAATAACTGAGATTATTCTTATCTAAGAAGTTCAGGATGAAGCTAGAAAAATACATTTTCTTCAGAAAAATAAACAAACAGCTTACTTCTATTGAAGATTTGAATTGTCTTCTTTCGTTAGTTTCATCATCCAGATTGGCCTGAAGTAACTCTCGGAATTTTGAAACCTTAAAAAAGTGTTTCCAGGTTTATCCCAGTTAAATAGCATACATACTGAAGTGAATATTTTCCTACAATGAATATATATATTTCCAATAGATACTTACCTCCTGTCATAGTTACAGATATTCTTGATTTGACTGCTCTATAGTGCACAAATTGTTGCTCACCACTAGCCTTGAGCTTCCACCTAACTCCATGTGTATACCACATGGTTCAGCTGCATTTAAGCATGAAAATTAGCATGTGAGAACTCTCCACCAATAGGAGTGCAACACACCCTCCTATCACAGCTGACTCTTTTTATGCAGTTGAACCCAATCTTCACTTTGAGATTAGGCATGAAAAACAACACCGGAAGTGGGATAGGTGGAAAGTGTAAAACGAGGTTAGTATCTATCGAAAATATATTTTCAGTGGAGGAAAATATTAATTTCCAATATGAGTACTTACCTCCTCTCACAATTACAGCTAGAGTCATACATTAAGCAAGTGGAGGGACTGGTGTAAAATTACCTAGATGAGCACCCTTCAAAAGCATCTGAAGAGCACCCATGGAGTGTCCCACCTCTATGTAGAACCAAGTATACTCTTCCCACAAGTGGAGTCAACTGGTATTGTGTCACAAGAAAAGGGCAAAACAAGTGATTCATCCCAAATTCAAAAGAAAGAGGAATGTGTGTAGAGTGGCTAGGGTGAGTTGGACCATAATCAGAAAGACAACTGCAGTCCGCACCAGTGGCACCAGGAGGAACTTGACCGGCAAATGGCAGGAGGAAGGTCCTCAACCATGCACCTCAAGTATAGGAACCAGAAGAGAAGAGGAGCCTCTGTTCTGAGAACCTAAACTAACATGTGGGCAAATTTAACACAATCTGGAAAATAAACATTGGGAATGTAGATCTGAACAACATCAGTAAGGTTGAAATGCAAAGATGAGGGTCAATTCCAGTTCAAAACCAATTGGCATTAAGGCTGTAACATCCAGTCCCTGGTAGGAGGAAGTTCCCAGCCCACTCACATGTGAGGACTTATGTTGGCTGGTCCAGCTCCAACCAAAATCAGTCATCCAAGAACTGATATGTAGGGAGTGATAGGAGAGAGGGTTCCCAGCCAGATGGGCAAACTGTGAAATAGACTGAAAAATCCAGTCCAGACTAGTGGAATCTGGAATAAAACATCAGACCCACAGCAGGAGGATGTCACATCTTTTAAACAGGCAGAGTGCTACCACCCTACTCTTGACTGAGTGGAATTGTGCACATTCAAGAGGGATTCCTCCATGATCCACCACCCCAGTGGCTAGGAGGTGGGAAGTGGTATGGTCTTCCACACTCCACTGAAAGAAGAGGCAGAGGAATGCATTGGAGAGTCTGGAGGAACGCATCACTGGTGAAAGTGCAACGTATGACCACAAACCCCTTCCCAATTCTGGCATTCTAAGGAAAATTAATAATGGGCAGCAATCTCTTTCTGCTTTACTCATGTTAGTCCATAAGTGTACAGTCCAATATGAACATATATACCATGAGGAAAACCTGCAAGTGGTCTTGTAGAACACTCCATCTCAACAGTGAGCATGACAGACCTTATAGATTTCATGGTGCAGATTTTGGATGTTAGTATACCTGAACAGGCACCACTTACAACAGAATGGGGTCCATAACATGTTAAGTAGGCACCTGAAAAAAATAAGAAACAAAGATAATTTACTCACTCAGAGTTCTCCTGACATATGGAGAAAAGCTACAGGGAGAAGATGATATCTAGCTGAGCAGAGAACCACCAGATGGTGCAAGTAGTGTGGCCTGGATAATCTCCTCCTAACAACAATGGAAATGAGCAGACAAGGACAACAGGAGATGATGGATCAGATGGGATGATACACAGAACAATTGGCAAGATTTAGGAGAAAGGGAGGAATACGCAATATGGATAACCTGATGAACCTAACCAGTAAGGGTGATAGGAGAAATATCACGAGAAATGGTGCTGTGCATGACATGTAACACTGTAAAGCAAGGACTGGACACAGGAAACAATCTGAATTAGAGAAAGAGTAAATATGGGATATGGAAGGAAGGGAAATAACTGAAGAGGAAAACAAATGGCAAATATGGGTAAAATGTATGAAGATGACAGGGCCATCCTATAGCCTACAGAGGTTCAAAAGGGCTGACCCTTGTCAAACATCGATGTAAAAACAGATATCTGAGGAAGGGAAGGAGAGAATCCATGTCAAGTACAAATTACTCGAGGTAGAAGACTGATGATAGGGTATGCATAAAGGGGAAAGGTCCTTTCAATCCTGGCTGAACACATCCATGGCTAAAGCCAAAGTTTGTGGAACTGGGGACCAAAAGAGAGGAAGCTTGGCATTCAAATTAGAGGCAAATGCCCCAGTTGGGGAGTATCCAACTGAGAATATAGCCATCGGAATACCTGGGGGTCAAGCGACCACTTCATGGGTAGAATCTTGTTGGGATGGCACAGACAATCCACAACAAAATTAAGCGTACCTGGTATATGACAAGTCAGCAAACAAATTTGATGGCTGTGAGCTCAGAAGAGGAAATCTAGAGTGCAGGAACATAAGGACAGAGATACAGTTCCCCTTGACTGATGATGTAAGAGACAACTGTCTAGTTGATGTAATGAATCATAACTCTCATGCCCTGCAGAGATGACAAAAAATGAACCATTGGTCAACAAACAGCAAGTAATACTAAAAGGTTGATGTGTAGACCTAACTCCTCCTGAGACCAACGGCACAAGAGCTTCTATGTTATACAGCATGTACTTTATCCTGACAACAAGGCATCTGTGAAGACATGGCTATTTGAACGAGCAGAAGGAATAGGTACCCCTACTGTTGTGTTGTCCCTTTCTAACCACCAACAGAAGCCAGACTGAAGGGAAGCATGAAGTGATATATGTAAATCCAGAGTAGCCACTGTAAGGAATGTATGTGGACTTGGCCCAGAGGGAGAAGAGCCACCAGTGATGCCCAAGTCCCCAAAAGAGACAGAACCTCTCAGAAAGGGAGAGAAGGTGCTACTAGTTCCCTCTGAACTAAAAACTTCAGGAATTGCAGACAAAAAGGAGAAGGCTGGGCTCAATTGTGATGTGTGTTGAAAAACATCCCTAGAAGAAAAAGATATTGAGTGAGGTGGATACCAGACTTCTCCACCTAGATAACCCAACCCACCCAATTAGCTTCTCTGAGAAAAAGTTGGGTATGTGAAGAAGATTCTGTGAAGGATGGTACCATAAGGAGCTAGTTGTCCATAAATTGATGGAACTTGAGCACACAGGAATGAAAGAATCAGGCAAACAATTGGGCCACCCAACAAAAAAGCATAGGGTGCCAATGCCCAAAAGGAAGAGCTTGGAATTGATAAACAAGATCCTGATGGATGAGACATAGAAAAAAAATGCTGCCCAAGCAATAGGGATGTGAAGATAAGCATCAGACACATCAAATCTCATCATCCAAAGCCCTGGAAGAAAGGCTCACCTGAGAGACAGTTAGGATTCCATGGTGATCCAAGGCACATCGAGGAAGGGATTCAGAGAGGAGAGATCAATCACAGGATGTCAATGATAAACTTATGATAAACGAGTAAGCCAGACTCCCACAGGACCCAAATCCATAGAGTAGTCACCGGTTATGCTGACATCATACAGGATATCGATGAACAAAGGTATGACATGTAGATGTGGTCTAGGAAGTAGGAACCAGCAAACAAAAGGAAGGAAGATGTTGGGAAATAGGAACTGGAGATGGAGGAGGTTGGGACAATGGGAAGTGAGGAAAGATAGGAAAGTGTGCAATCTGGCGGATTCAACACAAGACTCTAAGGTGTTTGGAAGCCCACCAAAGATTGTAGATCTCAGAAGAGGTGCTGATCAAAGATCTCACAATGAAATCAAGGAGAGGTGCACATATGTTAACAAAGTCTACCAATGCAAGAGATCCCTGCAACACATGAGCCAAGTGTGGATGGAAAAGGCAGACAAAAACAATCTGGACAAGTTAGTGAGTATGAGGGTATGGGCTTCTGCTGAAAAACCCTTGAAAAACAAAGGAAAGCCTCAGACAGCAGGTGAATGGATAACAAACACCAAAGGAGTGTTGTTGTCCATCAAGAAAGGATTTGGATGAGCCTCTGTATGCTAACCCCTGCACATAATTGATCTGCAAAACATTCAAAAGGAGGAAAATTAAAAACTCAGAACTAGGTGTTGAAGTTAATAAGGAAGGGGATAGATCAAATGACACAGATGACAAAAACAAATCACAATATACCAGTGTTACCAAATATAAAAACTGTCACTGAGGTCTAGGCTAAGAATATGCCTGCACAGCAAAGGAAAGCTGTCCAAGTCCACACCATTCTGATTGAAGTCTTCAGAATTGCTTGTAAATTAGAAGATCCCATGGCCACATACAAAAAGTCATCCTCTGATGAAGTACGGGCAGCACTTCCTCTGCCAATTACACCACAACTGCAGCCATTGTCTTGGGCTGTTGAATGCAGTTACTGTAGGCAGCCATTGTAGTTGTAATAGTAAATTGTGAATTCAAAAATATTGACTGACTACCAGTAATTGAGTGAGAAAAATGATTCACGATCAAATAAATAAATACAACTCTATAGTGGTTTATAAACAATACTTTGAAATGCAAAAATCAGTAACTGAATATTATTAAAATGCACTAAATAAAAAATCAAGCACTAGGTCTTAACACTGTTGTGCCAAATTGACAAGTGAAGATTGGGTTCAACTTTATAGAGGGAAAATCAAAATGGTGTATTTGCGTGTTTTACACTCACCAAAAAGAAACCTATCATTCTATAGGTATTTGAAGAACTTGCTACAAGTTTTGATTTTCGATACCTCACCAGTATTAAGGCTTGGTTTGGTCTGATATTTCATTGGTGGTAGTGTCCAGGGTCACTGAT